CCTGTAAATTTGTCTTGTAAATTATTTGACACTCTTGTTCGTCCTATTTTATGCTTTAATAGTGAAATATGGTTTATGGATGATTATCTTCCTTCATACAGAGCAATGCTCCGAGCTATAAAGAATAACAGTTCATGGGATACACTCGCTTTACAAGAAAAATCAGTTTATGAAAAAGTACATACTAGATATTGTAAAACAGTTCTAGGACTCAATAAGACAGCATGCAATATTTCAACTTTGTGTGAACTAGGCAGACTTCCAGTTTCTTCTTTTATTAAAACTCAAGTCATGATGTACTTTGTACGGCTAAACTCTCAAAATGTAAACCCCTTGATTAAAGAATCATATAATTTTAATATATCTATGCATGAAGAAGGATTTTACTCCTGGCATACCCTTGCAATGTCTATATTTGAAGAAAATAATTTAAATAGCAATGACTACAACAAAAAAGATGAAAAATTTGACAAAATTAGAAATTCAGTTAGCAAGAAGTTGAAGAAAATTGTACTAGATAATTATAAAGAGAAAACTATGGAAAAAATATCTAAATTTACAGAAAATTCAAAACTATACTTGTACAGTAAAATAAAACACAGTGTCGATATGGAAGAGTATCTTACGCTTGAAAATAGTTTTAGGAATAGACAAATGCTAACTAAATTTCGAACAAGTGACCACTGCCTAATGATAGAAACTGGTAGACATAAGAAAATACCTCGAGAACAAAGATTATGTTCTTCATGTAATACAATTGATGATGAATCACATTTTTTTCTACAGTGTAGCTTGAATATACAAGCAAGGAATATACTTATAAAAGTTATGTTAGATAATTGTTCTTCATTCTACCTCAAATCACCTACTCAGAAACTTGATTATATACTAAGTCCAAAACTTGAAGTTATACCGGCTGTTTGCACTTTTATAAAACAATCATTAGAATTGAGAACTAAAAGGTCCACATCGGTGTAACATTTAGGGAATAAATTTCTATATGGATATTGTATATATAATTCATTGTTCTCATTGATTTTTTTTGGTTTTTTGTATTGCTTGACCCATATGGGTGTAATATGCAATAAAGAATAATCATAATTAGACATTGCAGTTTTTTTTTTATTAACGTCATTATAAACACTGATAAACATATTAAATCTAAAAGTCGAATATCTTTGGATATGGGGTAACCCATATCTATTCTTGTTACTACATCAATTAGAGGAGAACTGCCATTATTTTCACTATTGTATGGACAATTTGGAGCGCAATCATAAGATAGTAAAAAGTGAAATTTATAATTTTGCAGATAAGCTATGGGATGTAGTGAAACAGTGGAAAAGTGAAATGTTGTCTCGTCTAAATAAAGCAAAACGGAGTTCTGAAAAGCCGATTAAAAATTCTCTTACAAAAACAAGAGAAAAATGTAATGACATAGAAAGAAAAATAGAAGAGAAAAGAGAAATTCTTCTCGACATTGAAGCATTACATAATCCTGAACTGTTACCTGAACCCGAGGACATCGAGTGTCTCCCTGAAAAACCAGACTTGAAAATACCCAGAATAAGTCTCTCCACTTCAGATATTAACACGGAATTCTTGAGTAACTTTGCGAACATAACTGTGTCAACCAGTAATATGAATAGTTTTGACGTACACGAGGTAGAATCAAAGCATTTCAATAATAAGATACAAGACATGACTTGCAGTAAAGATGGAAATACCTTGTTTGTTACAGAGCAAGGAAGAGGTAAAATTTCAAAAATCGATCATGATGGCGAGATTCAGACCGAGTTTGGGACAAAATGTAAGAAACCCCTGTTTTCTGCATATTGTACCGGAGGAGTTATTTATGGTAACCCCGAAAATAAAACGATTGAAATATCCACTTCCGAGTCCACGGATGAAGTAAGGACTATAATGTCTACAGGAAAATGGTATTCCAGAGGAATTACAATTACGCAAGAAAAAATGCACGTTTGCCTTCGTTCATATCCTGAAAAAAATAAAGAAAGACGCGCAAAGGTTTCTACTTTCGAAGTACCTGATAATCTCATAAAGTCTTTCAGGAAGGTGAAAAGCATTGAATTCCATGAAAATCAGTCTCTCTTTGAGGATCCAAGATTCATTGCAGAAAATAATAAAAATGGAGATTTGTGTGTAACGGATACAGCAAAGAAACTTTTAATCGTAGTTGATAAATGGGGAAAATTTAGGTTTACATACGAAAGAGATCTATCGAGCCACAAGTTTAACCCACAAAATGTTTGTGCTGATAGTGAAGGCTTTCTTCTTTTACTAGACGTTTCTCAGATAACAGCAAACATTCATGTCATCAACCACGATGGACAATACATCTGCCATATTGAACCAGAATACCTGAATAGTCCCACGGCTATGTGCATTGATTGCAACGATAGGTTGTGGTTAGCGGACAGAGCAAATGATAAGACTAAAATTCTCTGCATGCAAAAAAGTGATGACATTCTGAAGACATTGGAAGAGTTTAAGAATCATTCAGTGAAAGAACCGAAAAACAAATTGACAACTGCGGGAAATAAAGTTGTTTTACAACACTCACAAGCATCATCATGAACAATTCATTAAAAGCAACGAAAAACCATGTATCTGAATCTAAATAAAGAAACATTGAATATATCAATCATATCTGAGAACAAATTTACAACCGCTATAAAAAGAATGTCACTGGCCTTTTGTATTGACTGAGTACGACGCAAACAGTGTCGCAAAATCCAAAAACATTGAAAATATGTGTGGGAAGAACAACACTAATATTCCTGAAGTTTACTGAAGAAATGGAAACAGATTTGACTGTGAACCGTCTTTGTCGTGACGAAGTCATCTAAGCTTCGTCTTTTGACCAATCAAATATTGGGTGAACGATTCTTTATGCACTTTCAGATATATCCAATTGTATTTATTATACCCCCTGCTTGAAAAGCGGGAGGATATATAGTAATCGTTATGTCTGTCCGTCTAGCTGTACGTCTGTCTGTTACGCTTTGGGGTACCCATCTCTTATCCGAAACTCCTCTCATACCACTGAATGAAATTTGATGAAACTTTCGTAGAATCTTTGTTACAAATTGCCATTGTGCACCTCTTATGTTACTCTTTGATCCGACACATATTTTGGGTTTTCCATAGCAAAACATAGACACTGCCATTATATTCATGTGGGAGGTGCGAGTATCATTTAGTGAGCTCATTGCTTACAGTACCTCTAGTTTTGGTTCATGTTATTAAAAAAGAAAGCAATAATTGTATATTAGTGTAATATTGATATATAAGAGGGACAGTATAATTTTACCTCCAAGAACTGCCGATGTGTTCTCTGTTTATTTTTCAACTTGAAATCTTTGATATACATGTATTTATTTATTATTTTTTTTATATTTTATATAAAATAAAAAAAAAAAAATCTGACTCATGCATTATCAATATTTGTTTTTGATTAGTCTTCAAAGTTGAGCAACTTTTTTACCATCAGCATACACTGTAAGCTATAAAAATGCCAATCATAATTGATATATCACTCAAATATTATAACTATGGTTAAAGTTTTATTTAAAATTAGTTCAGACTCAAAGATCAAGGTCAGACATATTTATTCAGTCATGAGGTCAAATAAAACAATTTCATATTCAAAAAGGTAATGTCACAAGGAATGCATTGTCACTAATCACGTTCAACTCTTGCTAACCTTTGTTTATATGCGCAAAAATATACCCAGGCAGTAGCTTTGCATAGATTCATCTTTTCTGGCCCAGCGGTTTTTAATTTTTATGCCCTGTGACCGATTGATTGATTGATTGTATATTGTTTAACGCCCCATTCGATAATTCTTCACTCATACAGAGACGTAACTGTGTGCTGGTGAAGGGCTTCAAATTTAGACCTATATTCGGCACTCAGGACCTGTGACTTTCACTTCTAATACCGAGCGCTTGCGCTTGGCGAAGGAACAGTCACTACCTATGTTAACGTCTGAGGTTTGACGCGAACGAGAATTGAACCCGGGCCTCCCGATCTCGAAGGAAACTCTCTACCACTAGGCTACCGTGACCGACCCCCCCCCCCCCCCCCCCCCCCCCCCCCCCCCCCCCCCAACAGAGGATTCGAAAGTAAATAGTTTTCCCCCGTCCGTTCGTCTGTCTGTTTGCAAAAACTTTAACCTTGCCAATAACTTTTTAGTGGGTGAGACTATGGCTTTGATATCTAAGATGTATATTCCTTGTGACAAGACCTTTCGTTTGATACCGCCAAATTTGACCTCTTGACCTTTGAGTTTGACCCACTTTTATAAAAAAAATTCCAAACTTTTACATCATTGTTGCGAGGGCTTTCATATTTAACATGTGTATTCATTGTGACGAGACCTTTCAAAGGGAATGATTTTTTCAACTATTAACCTTGAAGTTTGAAAAACCTTTAACCTTAGCCATAACTTTTTAACATTAAGTACTATGGATTTTATATTTCACAGTTTTATGTGATAAGACCCTCCTTTGGATACCATTTATTTTTACCTTTTGACCTTTACCTTGTAGATTGACTGGCATTTGAAAACTTCAACCCTCGCTATAAGTTGCTATAATGTAGCATAAGTGTTTCACAACCACATAGTTTTTAACGACCCAACCCGGTTTACATTAATTCTTAACAATCTCCCCTTGGGGCATTGATTTTCATTTGAATAAACTTCAATTTCCGTCATACAAGAATACTTGTAGCAAAGTATGGTTGATGTTTTGACCATTGATTTTGGAAAAAAATAAAAAAATTGGCAAAAACAAGAATGCTGATGCCAACGACATTGAACGGACAAAAAAAGAGCACTTAGATCTTCAGCTCGGATGAGCTAAAATATATCATAGTATTTTAACAAGTTTTAAATGTGACCTTAACTCGATCAAAACTTGAGAACGAAGGCTTAATAATTGTATTTTTATGATATGTTTAAAAATCAGTCAGAGTCTATTGGAGAAACCACCCGGAAAACGACGGTTTTCCATGTATATTGCTGAGGATATCGCCGCTACCAGTGTATCCATTATAAGGATACACACGGACGAACACAACATCCCCTTTGTTGACATGCGCAACAACGTTTCCGCTCACAGATCCATCATCATTATTCATAGCGCGTAGGTGAGTTGATCCATACTCAACATTGTTGATCATGAGCTGCGTAGAATGTTGAGCTTCATGTAATCTTATAACCCAAATAAAAACGTAAACGCCATCTTTTGGGGCAGTAAAGATACCGTCAACCCCATTGTATCCATTCCCAAAATTTGTGACCACGTTATCGAAGACAAGGATATGGTGTCCACTGGGAACTTTTTCCGTAATGGACATCCTGGCGTAAAAAGCAACATGATCCTGCGATGAGGGAGGTGAACTTGAGGCTTGTGTAAGAAGGCGTTCTAAAAGCAAAATAAAAAAAAGATGTTTGAAGAACAGCATTAGCTTGAACATTTGATTTTCATGTAGTACAATTTTCTTATTTCAAAAAATGCCTGAACATATACTGGAAAAGTCTTTGCTTGTACAGATATTTACAAAGTTTTTGAATCCAGTGTAGATACGGTGAATCAAAGTCATTCCCATTAATTGGGATGTTAAATGTATCTACATCTGTAAGGTAACGATGAATTTTTTTTGAAAGGGGACTTTGAGTTTAGGTTGGATTACCTAATATGAAATAAAATTAAAATTTTTATCAACAAAGACTATACTTGCATTCTCTTTGTTTTGTCAGTTGAAACCAAATAAATTTTTATGCAATCTTTCTAGGTCTATTATTATTATTACATGTATTATCAATATTCATTTCTACTGAAATAGAAAAGATAGATAATTCGCTTTCCAAAGCGATTCTTAAACGTTTCATCTATTCTACATGTAACAGAGTTTACAACTCTTCCCCTTCATAAAGTATACCCGTCTAGATGCATCAAAAAGTGTGGATTGAGTTGATCAAAACATGGCAACTGGTTTTTTTTTAAAAATCCATGCAGGTCGATTCTTAAATAATAAGTACGTGTAACACAGATCTAGATTCCATAAAACAAAAGTAATGAATATTTACTGATCATGGAATTTCTTTCTGGTCCTCTTATTTGCGGATTTTGATGGTTTTCAGTTATCGATGTAGGTGTCGACTCGTTCACCGATTTTACGTCATTGTTTTCCTCAATACCACAGTTCTGAATCACCATCAACAGTTTTCTGATATTGTCCTCCTGTCTTCTATTGTCATTCTCAAGTTTACTGATGCGGATGTTTTGACGTTCAACCGTTTCTTGAAGAATGGTCAAAGTTTTTTGCATTATGGTAATTTGAAACTGCACGTTTGAATCTTCATTGGCATGTGAAGCGGAACAACAAGAGAAAGCAAACAAAAGAAAACAAAGAACAACTTCGTGTACATGCATAAACTTTAACGGTGCCATTTTTCCGCGGTTGAACTAAGATGTGAGGACACCTTATCTTATCGTGTAATAGAATTATAAAGTAGGTGAAATATGTAGAGACAATTACGTTGCCCATGAAAGAGCAAAAGAGTTTTAAATGGCCGCAAATATAAACTAAAAGTTATTTGAAAACGAAAATTGTAGACCTCTACCGGGAAATGAAAAATTCTCGAAGGGGCGTAAAACAAACAAAATACTTAAGTACACGCGCTGCAAAGTCTGTAGTCTTTAGAAAATAATAATGTACAGTTGCCAGAAAGGGAACAAGAAAACATTTTCAAAATTAACAGTAAGATTACCCATACAGGGAGCTCCTATAAAGAAACATTTCTCGACAGGTGCCAGGTAAAAAAAAATTAATGCAAATATTTGTGGGATGTAGACAAACAGTGGGAAGGTAACATGTTGTCCCGTTTAAATGGAGAAAACATTCTGATCGGCATTTCTCTGCGAAATTCAAGAAAAAAAATTAATGAAACAGAGAAAAATAGAAAAGAAAGGAAAAAAATTCTTCTCGACATTGAAGCAGTACATAATCTTGAACTGTTATTCGTTCTCGAGATCATCGAGTATCTTTTAAATTCCTGAAAAACCAGACGTAAAAATTCCAAGAATAAGTCTCTAAACTGCACATATTAATACGGAATTCTTGAGAGTAACTGTGCGAACATTACCATTTCAACCAGTTATATAAATAGTTGTAACAAAAACAGGAGGTAGAATCAAAGCATTTCAATAATAAGATAGAGACATGACGTGCAGTACAGATGAGGATGCCTTGTTTGTTGCAGAGTAAGGAAATGGTAAGATTTTTATAAAATCACTCATAATGGCGAGATTCATACCGAGTTTAGAACGAAATGTAAGGAGCCACTGTTTCCTGCTTAATGCGCCGTAGGAGTTATTTATGGTAACCCTGAAAATAAAACGATTGAGATGACCACATCCGAGTCCCCGGACGAAGTGAGGACTATTATGTCGACAGGAAAATGTTTTTTCAGAGGAATTGAAAATAAACACGAAAAATAAACGTTTGCCTTTTTTTTATAACAATGCCGATGACAACTACTACGACACCAGACAATGTTGATCTGAAACAAACTATGACCTTCATCTACCGAAATATCGAACAAATCAATTTAAAAATTCTTTTCATTATTCCGGTGTTCATTTATGGAACAAATTACCTTTGCATATCCGTTTCTCACCAACTGTACAAACCTTTCGTAAAAATATAGAAAAAATCATTATAACATGTCGAAACTAAAAGTTATATAATTTCATGTTCTTGAATCGATCTGTATATGTAATTGTATTTTCACGTCATGTTGTATTATTTATTATAATATTGTACACTGTTTTTATAATTGTATTATTGTGAATGTGTTTAGAGGGCCCCGAGGAAGACTAGTGCACTGCACTATCGGGTTACCCTCTTTAAATAAAGTATTATTAGGGTCTTCCGCTTCCTTCGGAAGACCCTACTGTTATTCTATTGTTTCTATTTATTCTTTTTTTTTCCCCGCTCGACTTTTGACAGGCGATTTCTCAAAGACCTTTGGACTGATCGTTATGAAACTTTCAGGATAGATAGCTTGTAGTTAAACCTATTTAAACCTGTTTTAAGTTTTTTTATGCATGCCTTTATTTGTGAGTTATTGCCCTTTAATTGAAAATTTTTGATGTCTCGTTTCCACTGAAAATCTCAAAAATGACATAAGATATTTACACGAAAGTTGGAGAACTTGTAGCCAATACATTGTAGATGTGCACAACGATAAAATCATATAGCTGATTTCTTAAAGTTTGGAAGCTATAAAACGGCAAATTTTAGTAATTTTTTTTCTTTGAATTTTTGCTACTTTTTGTGTAATAACTTTTAAACCGAGAATAATTTGGTAAGAAATATATCACAAAAGTTGTGGGTAATTACGAGAGCTTTCATATTTGATTAACGAAAAGGGGCTGGCCCCTATAATTAATAATTTATAAAACAAGTACATGTATGTGAGAAACCTTTCAGGAACAAGTTGTCTACTATAGCCAGCCAAGCCTTTACTGCATACATGTGCACATTTTTAGTTGATGCATCTAAAAGATATAGTTTTGATTCGGTGTTTCTTTGTTTTCTTTTTATTCAAATAATTTTAAAATGTGATGATGTACACAACAATAATTAGTACCTAGTTTAGAGGATTTTTTCGCGCTTGTTTGTAAACAACGCGCGGCATTGTGGGAAATAGGAAGGTACTAAAGACGCGAAGTACTAAGCACTGATTTGACCTGATTCAAATTTGTCTGTAAATGTTCCAAACAATTGAATTTTTGTATAGCATATGCCTCGAAGTCATAAAGTCTGTACATAAGTAATTTAAAATACTCAATATTACCATTTAATTAAAAATTAAAACGTCAGGTAAATATCAGGTCTCTAGTATATCCCGTTTTTAGTGTGCCCCTTCGAGTCGACGTCTGACACATGTTTGCCATGGTTTACAAACTGAAAATAGAACTAGGAGACTTATTGTTCATAGAACAATAAGAGGTCTTTCCACCTTTTTAAATTTCTTATAGTTTTATATTTTACACTCTAAATTTAATTTTAAGGGAAATGGTTTGAAAAAAAAAAAAATGTAAAAAAGAATTTTTTTTTGAAATGACCTTGACCTTTGACCTTGAAAAAATTTTCAAGGTCAAAGGTCAAGGGGACACTAGTGCAATTAACCCCATGCTTCTACCATTAATAGTTTTCAAGATATAAGGTTTAATGGTGAGAGTATAAAGAAGTTAAAGGGCAATAACTCATATAAGGGGTCATTAGATCCTTTAGTACTTATACAATGAAGGTGTGCCTAAAGACCCTTAAGACATAAGTGAAGGTTTCATGCCTCACGGTCTACAGTTTTGAAGTAGTAGTGATAACAATGTTTTTCGCATAAGGGGCAATAACTTTTGATAGAGTCCATCTTGGGGAACAAGATTGAAATCTTTGAAATAGTTTTAAGTGTACACATTAATGATGCAAAGACTGATTGCATATGTTAAAAGACAAAGGATATATAAAGAGCTTACTTCTACTTTGAATGACTTTCGCCTCTGACAAAATATTCAAGGTCAAAGGTCATGAGTCTCAATGCAGTTGGCCCCATGCTTCTACCATTTATAGTTTTCAAGATACAAGGTTTAATAGTAAGTATAAAGAAGTTAAAGGGCAATAACTCATACAAGGGGTCATCAGATTCTTTTGCACCTATACAGTGAAGTTAGGTCTAAAGACCCTTAAGACATTAGTGAAGGTTTGGTGTCTCTACGGTCTAAAGTTAAAGTTACAAGGTTTTTGCACAAGGGGGAATAACTTTTAAATGGGTTCATGTTAGGGGACAAGAATAAAATCTTCGAAACTGTTTTAAAAGTACATATTAATGATGCATAGACATTAAGTATATGTTAAAAGACAAAAGAGATACAAAAAGAGCTAAATTTCTCAGTTTTGGAATGACCTTGACCTTTGACCTTTCCATAAATTTCAAGACCAAAGGTCAATGAATCTTATGCATTTGGTCCCATGTCTCTACGTCTTCTCGTTTTGAAAATTTTTAATTATTTGTAAAATTCTAAAACTTCCAGGGGCAATAACTTATTGAAGGTGTCAATGAATACTTTCGCAATGAATCAATTAAGTGTCTACTAAATTAGTCGAAGACATTAGTGAAGGTTTCATTTCTTCTACGGTACATGGTTTCGGAGGAGTAGCGATAACAAGCCTTTTTGCGAAAGGGGTAATAACTCCAAAAAGGTGTCCAAGTTCATTTACGCAGGGTCAACTCCAAAAATCTTTTACGGAGTACATTCTTATGAATTGAAAATCTTTACGATAAATATTGAAACTCAAAATCACACGGCGGAAAAATAATAAAAAATAATAAGAAAAAGGAAAAAAAGAAACAGAAGGAAATCAATCGGTCTTTCCACAGAAAGGTGGAAGAGTAATGATTTGTGAAGTTGAACATTTTCTCACAAAGAATTCGTTTGTAGACATGTACACTCATTTAATCTGCAGCTACGAAGTACTTTGTCACTTCTCTGGAACATTATTCTAAGCAGAATTATGCAATTATTCATATATTCTAAAAATCTTGTGTGAATTGTTTACGAGAAATTGTGACTGTCACATTAACAAGGATGAACACTCTTGACTCTGCTTCGGATTTTCCAGTGATAATTGTATCGTGTGATGAAAGAGCTGACGGCGACATTTTAATGTATGATTGGCTTGGACCATTGGAATGAAGGTTAGAATATTTTTATCATGTTTATTACTTAAAATTTACACTACTGATTACATGACAGAGACATACATTGATGTTATTAGAAATACACAGACACGCCGATATATTATCTGTTTTACAGTTCAGACGCTCTCTGTTTACCTTGTAAATCCCCACAGCTTTATATTTTATTTTTTTTAAATTTGAGGATGTAATTTCAACAGTCCTACTATCTATCATAGTGATCATACTCTATAATTCAAACTGCACTTAATGTTACAGAATATATTCAACTAATTATATATTGACAGTGTGGGTAGACTTTACTTTACCGGTCCCCAGATCTGCAGGATCCTCGCGCTGATTGGACTATGACGTAACATATACGTCACTCAACTGAAATGGGTTAAATTTGCACACTATTCGACTTATTAGGGTTAGTCTTGCACCCACCTGAGAGATTAGGATTAGTCCTTGCACTAGTATTACATAGGGTTAGTCTCATCCATGAGATTAGGGTTAGTCCTCACACATTACTTGACTGATAAGGTTTAGTTTAGCATCTGCCCGGGAGATTTCGTCTGAATGTCTTAGTCCTTGCATACCATCGATGACTTAGGGTTAGTGACTCTTTCTTTTACATAAGTTAAGAAATTCAGTTGTTTCTGTAATTTTTCTAAGATCACGTAATTCAACTTTAAAGATATTTTGTTC